ATGAAAAAAAGTTAAGCCTTTAGTTGGAATATGCAGGGACTTAGTCCACCCGAACGAGGATGGACTGGGTCCGAGAAAAAGTAACGTGCTGTTCGCCCATTTCCCAGCCTCACAATCCCGGAGACAATCAGACGCAGCGGGGAGTCAAGTCAGGCAAGAACTCGTTTATTCCGCGCATAGCAAAGCCTTTTAAAGCACAAAACTGCAGTCATTGGGGCAGGGCGTAAGGACTAATCAATCACTTAAAGGTCATTTTACAGGGCGATTTCTTACAGGACTAGCCATGTGTCTGTATACTTGTCATTAGTTGTCACTTCCCCTGATGTTGCATGGCCAATTAGCTTTGGTGGTAAACAATTTGGGTTCCACCCACCTTACTTCATTTGGACGCCATCTTTGAATTGCCTTGTGTGTCTAATTTCCCCACAGGAATATCTAACCAGTCAGATTTTAAGAAGTGGAACCATGAATAATTCACAAATAGTAATTTTGGTCTCCAGTGACTATTACTATCTCAGAACCTATGATAGTTCTTTATGTGAGACCTGGTCATTGTTTCAGGTTCAACACAGATCTCCTCTATTGAAAGTATGAGACCACTTTTTGGCCTAACTGACTAGTAAACACTTGCCAGTAGTGAAATACACACATATAAGCCCTGCTTAATGATCTCAGTTTGTGAATTTGTAAGATGTGTATTTGTTCAAAAATGTATACTTATTATAGTATAACAATTTACTCATGACCATTAGGCAGACTTGTTGCTTCAAGGTTCTTAGTTATAACTGGACTACCATAGACTGTTTCCATTACACGGACGTCGCACCCAGCTCCTGGTGCCATCTCATCCTGTGTGTGTGTGTGTGCACCTTCCTGTACAGTCCACTCACTCAGTTTGTTCTTTTTTTTAATTTTTATTTATTTATTTATTTTTATTATTTTTTTTTTTGACAGGCAGAGTGGACAGTGAGAGAGAGAGACAGAGAGAAAGGTCTTCCTTTGCCGTTGGTTCACCCTCCAATGGCCGCCGCGGCCGGCACACCGCGCTGATCCGATGGCAGGAGCCAGGAGCCAGGTGCTTTTCCTGGTCTCCCATGGGGTGCAGGGCCCAAGCACCTGGGCCATTCTCCACTGCACTCCCTGGCCACAGCAGAGAGCTGGCCTGGAAGAGGGGCAACCGGGACAGAATCCGGCGCCCCGACCGGGACCAGAACCTGGTGTGTCGGCGCCGCTAGGCGGAGGATTAGCCTAGTGAGCCGCGGCGCCGGCCTCAGTTTGTTCTTTTGAGGAAGGGAATAACATCCTGGTGTGTGAAAATTGGTTTTAAATTTTTTTACCTCTAGGGCCGGCGCCGCGGCTCACTAGGCTAATCCTCCACCTAGCGGCACCGGCACACCGGGTTCTAGTCCCGGTCGGGGCGCCGGATTCTGTCCCGGTTGCCCCTCTTCCAGGCCAGCTCTCTGCTGTGGCCAGGGAGTGCAGTGGAGGATGGCCCAGGTGCTTGGGCCCTGCACCCCATGGGAGACCAGGAAAAGCACCTGGCTCCTGGCTCCTGGCTTCGGATCAGTGCGGTGCACCAGCCGCTGCGGCCATTGGAAGGTGAACCAACGGCAAAGGAAGACCTTTCTCTCTGTCTCTCTCTCTCACTATCCACTCTGCCTATCAAAAAAAAAAAAAAAAAAATTTACCTCTATAAATGTGAAATAATAATGTGAAATAACCACATTTCTAGTACTAAATAGCAATTAAAGCAATATAGCCAATTTATTGAAAATTAGAAAAGAAAACCTATAATTGTACTGTTTTTTTCTACTGCTAATGTGTTTTCATATAACCTTACTTCCTTATTCTTAAACATCTTCTAGTGTCAACGGACGGGTTTTTTTGTATGTTTGTTTGAGAAGCAGAGGTGGGAAGAGAACAAGTTCTCATCTACTGCTTGACTCCCCAAGTGCCCGCAATAGTCAGAGCTGAGCCAGGCCAAAGCCAGCAGCTGGAATGTAATCCAAGTCTCCCACATGGGTGGCAGGGACCCAGATATTTGAGCCATTACCACCTGTCCCCCAGACTCTGTACTGTCAGGAAGCTGGAATTGAGAGCAGAGATGGAGCCAGGACCCAGGCACTTTGATAAGGAATGTGGGTTCCCGACTGGTGGCTTAACCTCTAGGCCAAAGGCCCACCCACCATACTACTGGATTTTGTATTTGAATAGAAGTAGTTGTGTAAACTCAAACAGTACAGGAAAGCTAATTAAATATGTGTCTCCCCCCTCATTCATTACCAAGAACTTCTCCCCCTGGGTTTTCAGTGTGTGTGTATGTTTTGTGTCTATAATACATAACAGCATCTTTACACAGATGGACTCTTGATGTACATGCTGTGCACATACCTGCCTTTTTTCCACTTTATCAGGTATCCTGCGTGCCTTATCAGTATACCTGGGGCTGGCGCTGTGGCACAGCAGGTTAACACCCTGGCCTGAAGCACTGGCATCCCATATGGGCACCGGTTCTAGTCCCGGCCACTCAACTTCTTATCCAGCTCTGCTATGGCCTGGGAAAGCAATCAAAGATGGCCCAAGTCCTTGGGCCTCTGCACGCGCTTGGGAGACCAGGAAGAAGCTCCTGGCTCCTAGCTTCAGATCAGTGCAGTTCTGGCCATTGCAGCCAATTGGGGAGTGAACCAGCAGATGGAAGACCTCTCTCTCTCTCTCTCTCTCTCTCTCTCTCTCTGCCTCTCCTCTCTATGTGTAACACTGACTCTCAAGTAAAAAATAAATAAATCTTTAAAAAATATGTATTTACCTAGACCTACCTAATTGGTTTTTCAGTTATCAATATTCCATTAGCCCCTACTCTAGGCCCTTACTAACAGGTATGGCTATCATTTTCAGTGACTGCATACTTTTCTATTGAATGGATATATTACTAAAGTTATTATACTTTTTTTTTTAAGATTTATTTATTTATTTGAAAGAGTTACACAGAGAGAGAGAGAGAGAGTGAGTGAGAGAGAGTGGTCTTCCCTCTGCTGGTTCACTCCCCAACTGGCCGCAACGGCCGAAGCTGCGCCGATCCAAAGCCAGGAGCCAGGAGCTTCTTCCTGGTCTCCCATGTGGGTGCAGGGGCCCAAGGACTTGGGCCATCTTCTACTGCCTTCCAAGAACAAGCAGAGAGCTGGATCGGAAGTGAAGCAGCCGGATCTCAAACTGGCGCCCATATGGGATGCCAGCGCTTCAGGCCAGGGCGTTAACCTGCTGCGCCACAGCGCCAGCCCCAAGTTATTATACTTTGTATCTTAGAAAGTTTCCGAGCTATTCAGTACCATTTTTGCTATATTATAAATTCCAAAATTGATTATATTACCGTTGTGTGATGCTTAAATATGCAAGCTTCATGTTTCCCACCTGTTTGCAAAGGAGAAAGACATCCTTTATCATAAAATTTGTTTTAAATCATCATACTGGAAACCCAGTAGGTATCAACAAAGATATATTTGCTTTGCAGCCAGGATTGAGGTCAGAGGTTTTTTATTTGTTTTGTGTGTGTGTTTGGTTGTGTGTATGCACAGGTGCGCACCTTCATCTGAGTTCACCATTTTACAAGTTATTCATCAGTTCATGGAGTGGCTTTCAGATCCAGAGTGTTAGGTCATTTTCTGAAGCAATTGTAAAAGAGGATAATAAGCTAATTCCAAAGCTTATATTTAAGTTAGAAATATAAGAAACATAAAAATTGTGAAGTAATAATGTGAGGTGATGTTGTTTCATGGGCCCAATATTAGGTTGATTCAGCTGAATCTGCACTTCAGAGTCTAAGAAGGAACACTGTACAGAGAAACATGAGCAAGACTGCAAACAGAACGTTTTTTTTCCTACAGATAATTTTTTTAAAAGATTTATTTATTTAATTTGAAAGAGTTACACACAGAGAGAGAGGCAGAGAGAGAGAGAGATCCTCCATCCACTGGTTCACTCTCCAATTGGCTACAATGGCTGGAGCTGAAGCCAGGAACCAGGAGCTTCCTCTGGGTCTCCCATGCGCAGGTGCAGGGGCCCAAGTCCTTGGGCCACCTTCTACTGCTTTCCCAGGCCAGAGCAGAGAGCTGTGTTGGAAGTTGGGCAGCCATATGGGATGCTGGCACTGCAGGCAGTGGCTTTACCCGTTACACCACTGTGCTGGCCCCTAAACATAAGTTTTAATAGGTATCGTAAGAGAAGGCCTAGAGTCTGGGATTGGCATGAACTTTTTGGCCTTGAGGAAGTGGTGGTAATTTTAAACTTTAAGTTGGTTGAATATGAAGAGATCACAGAATAGGAAGGGATAGATCTTACGTGGTTGAATGCCAAATGGAGATGTTTCCAATGTTTTTCCTTTTTCTCTCTTTAACTTTTACCCTTTAAACTACTGGTCTTCAAGCTTTAGTGTGTAGCAAAACCACCTGCAGGCCTTGCTCTTAGATTGTTCAGCCCCACTGCCAAAGTTCCTCATTCAGAATGTCTCGGTGGCACCCAATAACTTAAGACCTCCCCAGGGGATAGTGATGCGTACACCTCTAGTATGCTGGTACTCTGAGAACCAGGACTGTCGGCTGGGGGTGATTTACTAGAGCTGCTTGACCTCAGAAAGCACTCTATGAAATTGCTTTGGGGTAGGTCGGAAGAGGAAATGACAAAGTCAGTAAATCCATGGAATCAGCCCAAGTCCTTGCACAGTTATCCACTGTTTCTGTGCTAAGTGCGGGCACATGAACTAACCTGTTTTGTTTGCTGTGTGTCCACGGTGCCCATGATGGGCAGCGAGGAACCTCTTCATTTTTAATGATGGCATAACATTGCTTTCCTGCCCTTTATTCTCCTTTCCTAAACTTGAAGGCCATGTTAGTGAGGCTGCCAGAGCTTTGGTGTTCAGCATCTTATTCATGGTTGCTATTTTGTGTCTGTTTTGGCAGTTTCCTTTGCCAAGTAAAGGAAAACTTACTGCATTCTTTTTATTTCAGAATGGGAAACGGAAGCCAAACCATGTAGTCCAGTACAAGATATTTCCAGACTCAAAAAGGATAGAACCCAGACCTTCAAAGTGGAAAAATCCTATGACTATGATATCAGAAGAGAGACAGATACCTTCAGGAAAATTCCTACGAGTGGAAGAGATTTTCGTTTGAAGTCAATCTTTTCACAAGAAGATGATCTTACAGAAGAGTATCTTAGCAAATATGATATATATAGAAATGATTTTGAAAAGCATTCAAACCTAAATATACAGTTTGATACCCAGTCAGATAATAAAACTGCTGTGTATAATGAAGGTAAGGCAACCTTCAATCATGTCCCGTATGGTGTTGTACATGGGAAAATACTTCCTGGAGATAAGCCTTATAAATGTAATGTGTGTGGGAAAAAATTTAGAAAATATCCGTCCCTCCTGAAGCACCAAAGTAGCCATGCCAAAGAGAAATCTTACGAATGTGAAGAGTGTGGGAAAGAGTTCAGACATATCTCGTCCCTCATTGCACATCAGAGAATGCATACTGGAGAGAAACCGTACGAGTGCCACCAGTGTGGGAAAGCCTTCAGCCAGCGTGCACACCTAACCATACATCAGAGGATTCATACCGGAGAGAAACCCTACAAATGTGATGACTGTGGGAAAGACTTCAGCCAGCGTGCACACCTTACTATCCATCAAAGGACACACACTGGAGAGAAACCATATAAATGCTTGGAATGTGGTAAAACCTTCAGCCATAGTTCATCCCTGATCAATCATCAGAGAGTTCACACAGGAGAAAAACCTTACATATGCAACGAATGTGGGAAAACTTTCAGTCAGAGTACACACCTTCTTCAGCATCAAAAAATACATACTGGGAAGAAACCATATAAATGCAATGAGTGTTGGAAGGTGTTTAGTCAGAGTACTTACCTTATTCGACATCAGCGAATCCATTCTGGAGAGAAGTGTTATAAATGTAATGAATGTGGAAAAGCTTTTGCTCATTCCTCAACGCTTATTCAACATCAAACCACTCACACTGGAGAGAAGTCCTATATATGTAACATATGTGGGAAGGCCTTCAGCCAAAGTGCAAACCTCACTCAGCATCATCGAACACATACGGGAGAGAAACCATACAAATGCAGTGTGTGTGGGAAAGCATTCAGCCAGAGTGTGCACCTTACTCAACACCAGAGGATTCATAATGGAGAAAAACCCTTTAAATGCAATGTATGTGGGAAGGCATATAGACAGGGCGCAAATCTTACTCAGCATCAAAGGATTCATACTGGAGAGAAACCATACAAATGTAATGAATGTGGGAAAGCGTTTATTTACTCCTCGTCACTTAATCAGCATCAGAGAACTCATACTGGAGAGAGACCTTACAAATGTAATGAATGTGATAAAGATTTTAGCCAGAGAACATGCCTTATTCAACACCAGAGAATCCATACAGGAGAAAAGCCCTATGCATGTCGTATTTGTGGTAAAACCTTCACCCAGAGTACAAACCTTATTCAGCATCAGCGTGTTCATACGGGTGCCAAACATCGTAATTAATGAATATGAGAAACTTCGTTTAGGTGTTACAGCTTGATCATTTTATGTTGTATTTTGTGCGCTGTGTGTTAAAATAGTATCAGAAGAAATCTAAAGTGCAATATATTGTAGATGCTACTCAGCAGAAATATCAGAATTAGTGATATGAATAGAACCTATGTAAATTTAATACGAAATTTAAGAAGGAAAGTTTATTGGCTTCTAAACTGTTACTAGTTCTGCTGATTCCAGGAAGAACCCTATGAACGGGTGTTCAAAACCTGTAACTCTCAACTTCTACTGTATTTCATGTACTTCTTAATGAGGCCTTATGAAAGTGTAACTTGAGAAAGCATCCATTAAGTGGAGATTTCACCCTAGAGCGTGATCCTGGGATTATAGAAAAGGCTACCTGTAGGCCTCTGTCTCCTCCCAGCTTTGAAGCCTTAAGATATGTAGAGGGTTCCCTCCCCTTTCCTAACTTCCCTTTCCTGTTGTGCAGGCACTGCCACGTGGATCCAGTAGGTTGGGGGTAAAAGCCAGCTGAAAGGAAGTAGCTTAAAGATTTGTGTCCACTGTTTAATTACACTTCCCCACAGATACTGAAATATTAAAGGAAGATGAGTTTAATGAAAGATGATCTGTTAGGATAGAGAAACTAATGTATATATAACCCTTAGGTGTGTACAGATTTAAACAGGCAAAAGGTAAACATCCTAAACATGAATTAATCTTTCAAACATGGTAGCTATAGTTTCACTAGATTTGGACATCTGAAGTCATCCTGAAGGGAAAGATCAGGCATTTGGTTCCCATTATTGTCACTTAATTTGTAAACTAAGGTCCCCTGTAACTTTTACTGCAGAAAGTCCATTTCTTGAATACTTCTGGTGCTCAGGTGCCAGACTCCCAAACCAGATCCTTTCATGGCTTGTCACAGTGCTAAAAATCACAGCTGACTTAATGAGAAATCTTAGTAAAGGGCAGGAACCTCACTATGTCACGGAATGAGCATGAGACCTGCTAAGACGGGTTGCAGAATGCTACTCCATATTCAGCACAAGGAGGTAATAAAGCAGTAATATAAATAATGCGATAAATGCGTAAATGGGAAGATCTGAGTTCACTGCAGGAAGTGTTTGGGGGGGATCAAGACAAAAGCAGTGGGGTGAGGAAAGAATACACAGGTAACTGATGTGACATGAAGTATAATTGGACTTGTTTACTAAGAAAATGAGAGTGGCTAAGGAAAAAAATGCAAAATTCAGCCCAATGATAAGAAACAGCTAAAAGTCAAATTATTGATTTTAAAGAGTAATTAGAAGCTTGAAACTCCTTCATACATATAAGTAGAAATAACTCTTAACATGTCAGGAAAAACATTTCATTGGAAAAAAATTTGGATTCAGTAATGAGAACTGAGTTTGTGGGTCCTGACCACCATGAAAACTGGCAGGAATGCAAATAGGAGTAGATGAGAACGCTCGTGTATTTAATATCCACAGTGTGCCACTGTCAGAGTAAGACCATCTTCCAGGCTGAGAGTTCATGCTCATTTTTGTTTCTCCAGTGCCTTGCATATAGCACGTGGTCAATACCTGTTGGTTGAATTGATGAATAAGTTATATAGAGTTGAGTTATAAGAATTGACTGGCATGAAGTAAAAAATGGTAGAACTAAAAGTATTTCTTGGTGCTTTCTTTTTTTTTTTTTTTTACATTTTATTTTGAGAAATGGAGAGACAGAACTGCCATATGCTGGTTCATTACTCAGATGCCAGTAATGGTCAGGACTGAGCTAAGCTGGGAACTCAACCCATGTCTGCCCCATGGATGGCGGGGATCCAATCATGTGAGTGTCACCGCCACTTCCCCTGGGGTGCACATTAGCTGGAAGCTGGAGCCAGGAGCAACAGCCAGGAATTGAACCCTGGCACTCCAGTGTGGTATGTGCATACATTAGAGAGACGTTTACCAAATGTAGATGATTGGGTAATAGGGACGGCTTGACGTGGAAAATCAGAATTCATGGAACATCTTTGCACAGGGCAGTTTTCCTGAGCGAAATGGGAAATTGATATAAATTCTGGTACTATACATACCAATTTAATCATGTATTGCCAATGCTGCTTCATTTGGACATTGTTATATAAACATCCCTCAAACAAGTGCTGAAGGAGACCCGAACTGCCAGTGTCTTCGAGGCCACATGGTTAAGTGTTTCTGTAAGAAATTGTTGCTTTCCCTTTTCCTTCAGTTTAGCTAAGTTTGATTACATAGTGTCCTTCACAAAGCACAGGCTGCAAAATACTCAAATTTTTCTTAATACATAGTGACTTTAACAGCTGTATTGAAGCTATGATTTTTTTTTTTTTTTTTATGCTGCTTCACCTCTTACACAGCACTTGCTCTTGGAATGAATCTGTGGTGTAGTGGGTAGAGCTGCCGTCTGCAGTGCTAGTATCTCATACTGGCACCAGTTCAAGTCCAGGCTGCTGCACTTCAAATCCAGCTCTCTGGTGTGGCCTGGAAAAGCAGTAGAAGATGGCCCAAGTCCTTGGGCCCTTGTACCTGCATGGGAGACCCTCCTGGCTCCTAGCTATGGCCTGACCCAGACCCAGTCATTGTGGCCATTTGGGGAGTGAACCAGCGGATGAAAGACCTCTGTCTCTGTCTCTGCCCTTCAAATAAAAAATATATATATACACATATATAAAGAATGAATCTGGAGGGTTACAGTCCATAGCACCTTTCTTTGCATTTGCTTGTTTCCTGCTTTTGTGTTATGTAAATAATGCTTGTAAAGTTTTCCACAGATACACAGGCAGTTGGTGCCCTTGTAAAAGAATAGTGGGGAAGCCTAGATCTTTGTCTTTTTTCCCACTTTTACATTTATCTGACCCATGAGTAATTCAACAAATAGCCTTATTTACCACAAGTTTCTATTATGAAAGTTGTCATACAGAAACTTTTAAAAATAATAAAATGAACTGTGCTTACCACCTAGATTTAAAAACATTTTCCTTATTTCTTACTGAACAATTGGAAATTAACTTCAAGAGATGACATTTTACCTCTAAATACTTAAGCATGTTTCCCATAAAAATAAAGAATCTTTTACATAACCACAATACCATCACATACCTCAAAAAAAGTATAGTAACTCCCTAATATTTATACACCTAGTCCATGTTTTAAGCTGAAGACTGATCCAGCCAATGTTCACACATTGCATTGTACTTCATTGTTAAGGGTTTATCTAGAATAACCCTGTGGTGGTGTTTTTTGAGAGGAACGGAGACAGCACTCCCCGATCTGCTGGTTCACTCCCCCCTAAATGCCTGCAACAGCCAGGACTGGGTCAGGCCGAAGCTGGGAGCCTCCACGGGCTCTCTCACATGGGTGGCAGGTACCCAACCACGTGAGCCGTCACCTCTGCCTCCCAGAGCATGCACTAGCAGAAATCTGGGATTAGAAGGGTCAGGACTTGAACTCGGGCACTCCGACATAGGGTGTGGGTGTCTCAGTGGCAGCTTAACCCTGAAACGAAGCCAAGCAGCCCCTGGTTTTTCCTGTCCTTTTTTTTTTTTTTTTTTTTTTTTAAGAGAGCCGATCAGTTTCCTTGTAGAATGTCTTGGGATTTAATTGCATGTTACCAATGTGGGTTGTTTCTGTATCCCCCTGTCATTTCTGTAAAGTGAAAAGGGCCAAAGGTGTGACTGGATTCAGGTTAATCTGGTACCAGGTCATTGTGGTTCCCCATGATCTTGCCTCAATCAGTTCCTTTTTTTTAACAAACTGGTAATTTTTCAAATTCTTCGTTCTTTCTACATTTATTGAATTGCTTTCCTGTCATCTACTTGGAGCGTACTAGAGCAGAATCACTCTCAATTCTTTTTTTTTTTTTTAATTTATTTGACAGAGTTACAGACAGTGAGAGAGAGACAGAGAGAAAGGTCTTCCTTCCGTTGGTTCACCCACCAAGTGGCTGCCATGGCTGGCGCGCTGTGCTGATCTGAAGCCAGGAGCCAGGTGCTTCCTCCTGGTCTCCCATGCAGGTGCAGGGACCCAAGCACTTGGGCCATCCTCCACTGCCTTCCCGGGCCACAGCAGAGAGCTGGACTGGAAGAGGAGCAACTGGGACTAGAACCTGGTGCCCATATGGGATGCCAGCGCCGCAGGCGGAGGATTAACCAAGTGAGCCACGGCGCCGGCCCCCTCAATTCCTTTTAATTATCAGTTTTGGAGTGTCATCGCCAGTAAGGCGTGTGTCATCTGCAGTACTGAAAACATGTCAGCCAACTTTGGTCTGTTCTGATGTTCAAATTGTCCCAGATTTGGCCAGGTGGAACCCTTACAGTGGCTCCACACGTCCTTTTGACATTGTCCTCTGACATAAGCTATCTCAACCTTGTCTTGCACTTTCAATGCCCCACATGTGGAAGGAAACACTTCCATTAAGACTTCCTGGCTCCTTTTCACAGGTAGCTGTTGAGAAACCAAGATCCGGGCACTTCACATGCTCACTACTCCCACTCAGCTCAGTTTTCATAAAGACAACTCTGCACCCACCCGTAAGGGGGTCTAATTACATAACTGGGATAAACTAACAGACAGCTAAGTCTTGTTAAACACACGACTAAATGAGAAAGACCCTAGAAAGCCATGAACTTCACAAGGGGTATTGTGACCAAAACTATCAGCAAATTTTGCAGAGGGAATGGAGCTTAGTTAACCTGGCAGTGATTAAAGGGAAGGCACTCAAGAGCAACTAGGTAACCTGACACCTACTCTTGTCTCAGCTAACACACTGCTTGGGGTAATGTGCCTAGAAAGGACTAATCAGGTTTTTCCCATCGCATTGCTTAAGGCAGGCTTCTGATAAGATCGAAATTCCCTGAGCCTCTGCTTCCTGCAAACCTAAGTACTGGTTTTTCTTACCCGACCTTCATTTGGTCTTTAAAACCGTAAGGCTGCTGTCTTATCACTCTGTGTTCCTGTATCAAGTCACTTGCACGTGCCTGTAGACGTATTCCTGGTCCTGTATTTCTGTTATTCTCCCCTCTGGCGCTCTATTTCACTATAATTATTAGCACCATAGAACACTATCACCATTAAAAAAAAAAAAAAAACACAGCTAGCATGTGCACGCCGTGGTGTGTGTGTAAATACATGTGTAAGTTTGTAAGCACCATCTGTCCTTCCACTCTGTATGGACGAGGGAAGGGAAACCGTGACATGGAAGTGTCTGCCGGAGGCTGTGTGTCCCCCAGTGACGGAAGTAAGGACTGCAGCCCACAGCGCCAGTGCTGAGTTGAGTTCTTGTAAAATAATGTTAAATAGAAATTCTGAGTACAAACAGTATGTACCTAACATTTTATACCATTTTGTATTTTTATGAGATTAGAGCACTGAAAAAAAAGCTTTTTTTTTTTTAAACCTGTTTGTGTCTTCTCTCCCATATAGTTTCTTAAAGTCAAGTCTTTAAATGAGAATAGCCCTACTCAAGATGCCAAGGCCTGCACCACGGCTCAATAGGCTAATCCTCCGCCTGCGGCGCCAGCACACCAGGTTCTAGTCCCAGTCGCTTCTCTTCCAGGCCAGCTGTGGCCCAGGAGTGCAGTGGAGGATGGCCCAAGTGCTTGGGCCCTGCACCTACATGGGAGACCAGGAGAAGCACCTGGCTCCTGGCTCCCGATCGGCGTGGTGTGCTGGCCCCGCAGCGCACCAGCTGCAGCGGCCATTTGGGGGGTGAACCAATGGAAAAAAGGAAGACCTTTCTCTCTGTCTCTAACTCTGCCTGTAAAAAAAAAAAAAAAAAAAAAGACGGCAAGTTTTGGTCTCCCACACAAGTACGCAAGTTCAGAATCTCATAGCCAATAATCATCTAGAGGGACCTCACATAACTTCAGTGGTTTCATGTAAAACTGAATTGTTTTAACCTCAAAACTTAAAAAAAATTCGCCATAACTTCAAGAAGCTCGAAGCCACTCTACAGCAGTCGTCATCGTCCTGCTGGTCTTGGGGTGAAGTTGCCAGTTTGAAGCCTACAGAGTAGAAGTCTTTTTCTGACGAGCAGTCTGATGCCAACATATGATCTGCATTCAAAAAGTCGTCATTACAAAATGATACCAGAGTATCATGTTCGTTGTGGGCACCGCATTTCACACGGGAGTATCACTCACGGTGCTAGTGTCCTCGGGCTCCCTGGCTATGAAGGGAAAGCTAGCACCACAAACAGAGGGGATCCCAGCGGCCAAGTCGCCGTGGTCCTCCCCCTTCTGGAGCCACAGGAAAGCAGGAGTGGAGAGGGCTCACGTGAGAACCAGGAAGGCACCCAGGAAGCACTGACTGAATTAATAAATCCATTCATCGGATTAGTTATGCACTGTGCAAGATACTGGCCAGGTAACAGCTACTCAGCCAAGTGCAAAGTGTCCAGTAAAGACAGCTTCCCACACTCCAGGATAAAGGCAGGTGGCAAGCATACAGTAACATTTGTAGAACACTTTGTAGTCACAAAGCATTTTTATGTATACAAGGGGTCTTCAGAAAACTCAAGGAAAATACATAATATGAAAAAAAACAGATGTTAATATTTTTTGCACCAAAACTAAACCTAATTGTATTGTCCCATGAGCTTTTTTGACACACCCTGGTGTCGCTCCCCCTCTTCGTGGGGGAGCAACACTGAACCCTGCGCTGTTCTTTCGTCTGCTCGGCCCTCCCCGGGTTTGCTGCTGGTTCTTCCCGGGTTGGCTACTATCCCTTCCACCTCCGTGGAAGGGCAGTTCCCCCTGGCCACATTCCCCACTTCCGCAGGGGAGCGGCACACCGCCGGCCGGCTCTCTCGGGGGCTGCACGGGTTCCCTTAGATGTTCCCCATAGATGTTCCCGGTGCATGCCGTTTCTCTCCTCCTTTATAGTCCTTCTCCGCCAATCCCAACTCGGCTGCCCACACGCCGAGTACGCTGCTCTCCAATCAGGAGCAAGTCCTACAGTTAATTGGTTGAACTGGAGGCAGCTGTGCGGAAGCTGTTTACTTCTCTCCCAGCGCCATATTGTGGGAGAGCAGATGCATAGAATAAGTCTTAATTCGAGTAACTTAGTCTAGTCCGGATTGCTCCCCACAGATCCCCCTTTCTTTTTATTTTTGGCGTTGATACGCGCCTGTCTTCGGTGTCCCGCGGCACACACTAGAGTTGCCACAGGCTCTTACAAGTCCTATCCATCAGGCAAACCGAATCCGGGTCCTCTCTTCGCCATGTTGTGAGGAGGTTTTTAGGCGCTGATGCGTGCCTGTGTTCGGTGCCCTGCAGCGCATACTCTGCTCTGCTAGAACTGCCTGCAGGTGTTTACAAAGCCTATCAGGCAAACCGAATCCAAGCCTTCTCATTGCCGTATTGTGGGGGAGACTTATTAGTGTTGGTTTGTGCCTATCTTCGGTGACCTGCAGCTCATACTCTGGTCGAGCTTTGCTGGCGCTTACCGCCTTAAATCAGGCAGACCGAATCCAAGCCTCCTAATTGGCATGTTGAGGGGAGGCCTTATTTTTCTCTATTTCTCTATCTCCGGGCATTTCTATTTCTCCCATTTTACTTCTGTCTGCCAACATTCCTATTTCTCTTTTACTTCTAAACTTCTGTTTCTCTTATCCCCGCAGCTTTCCGGCACCTCGCCCCGCCGGCGGGTTCCCGGCTCTGCGCCGCTTCAGCCCGCGCGCCTCTCTCATCTGCGCAGCTTCCCGGCTTTGCGCGCTCTGCGGTCTTCACGCTTAACCCTTTCGCGTCTGAACCACGGCCTACGCCAGCGTTCCCTATCTATTCACGCCCCGTGCTTTCTCTGCACGCGGCGGCTTCCGCGAGTAACACAGCGTAGCTTGCGTCTCCACCACTAGCATTCAATCCAAGTTCCCCGGGCTAGCCTGGCGAATTCAACCCAGCGTACGTCTCCGCCCCACGATTTGGCTTCCCGTCCTTTGCTCCCCGGGCTAATCAGACGGATCCCAATCTGGCTTACGTCTCAGCTTCTGGTTTCAACTTTTCGCCCCCTATTCCCGGGCTAACTTGAGAACCCCAAAGTGGCTTTCGTTTCCGCCTTGGCCTGCCCCCCGCGGCTTCAATTTCCCTAACATTTTTCTCTACCCGGTATGTTTTCCCAAGCTTTCCTCCAACAATATTCCTCCCTCATTTCTCCTGGCCTCTCCCCACAGTCCGCGTCCGAGTCTGTTTGTTCTAGCTTTCACTTTCGCTTTCGACCTTAGAGATTTCTCCCAGCTTCCCCCCGTAGTCCGTATCCGAGTCTATGCCTAGGCTTTCAATAGCTTCTTCCGGCTCCCTTTTCGTCCGGCTTTTCCCTAGGCTGTTTGCTAGTTTCTCTCTCCGATATTTTCCCTAGTTCTTCCCGTTTCTTCCCTCCTAAGTTTCATATCCGTCCTAAGTTTCCTATCCGAGCTAGGTTTCCTAATCCGAGTCACGGCACCATTATGTCGCTCCCCCTCTTCGTGGGGGAGCAACACTGAACCCTGCGCTGTTCTTTCGTCTGCTCGGCCCTCCCCGGGTTTGCTGCTGGTTCTTCCCGGGTTGGCTACTATCCCTTCCACCTCCGTGGAAGGGCAGTTCCCCCTGGCCACATTCCCCACTTCCGCAGGGGAGCGGCACACCGCCGGCCGGCTCTCTCGGGGGCTGCACGGGTTCCCTTAGATGTTCCCCATAGATGTTCCCGGTGCATGCCGTTTCTCTCCTCCTTTATAGTCCTTCTCCGCCAATCCCAACTCGGCTGCCCACACGCCGAGTACGCTGCTCTCCAATCAGGAGCAAGTCCTACAGTTAATTGGTTGAACTGGAGGCAGCTGTGCGGAAGCTGTTTACTTCTCTCCCAGCGCCATATTGTGGGAGAGCAGATGCATAGAATAAGTCTTAATTCGAGTAACTTAGTCTAGTCCGGATTGCTCCCCACACCCTGGTACATTCATTCCTCCTCCCCTGTATGTGTCAGACTCCACAGGGGCCAAGGACTGACCGGGGCACCTTGTGTCTCCTAATAGCCAGAACACAGACAGTGGGGGAACCTATAAAAGGTGATCCAGCAAAGGAAGAAAAAGGGTAGGACCTTGTGAAAAACAGAAACCAGATAAAGTCTCGAACCTGAGACCTCGCATGGCGGCCAGTTCTTCCTGTGCTTCTCAGACACACGCTGGGCTGTAGGAAACTGGGGAGGGAAGGAAACCCCGGACTCGGACCTGCTTGGCAGGAGTCCCCCATATCCATACGGTGACTCCCAAGGGAGAGGTCAGATGAGCGCCTGGAAGTAATCCTGACTTCTTGCAGGTTCAGAAAAGCCACAGGTCCATGATTCTGGCCAGCACTTTTCTCTCACTGCATTCCCGGATTCACTGATTTCTCCACCAAGGACTGGCGTAAAAATTATTTTTACTAATTCCGGGAAGCAGGTGGACCGTGCGGAGGGCAATGGGCAGGCAAGGGCGCCCTCTGTCGGTCGGCCCGTGACCTGCGACGCGGTCTCGCACCGAGCTGGAGTGCGGCACCCACTAAACACGGGTTATCCCAGCAGGTTATGGAGGTGATGCCTATGACAAGCACCTCTACGCCGTTCCCTTTAAATACCTACAACGACTGTCCACTAAAATCCTTCAACCCATATTTTTACTTTTTTTTTTAAGAGGGGCGCTATTCCCTTTCTGGGGGGCTGGTGTTCGCCCACTCTTTCTCCAAAGCCTAGCAAAAGGACACCTGGGCGCCGGTTAGCACTCTGTTCCCGAACTCTCCTCCCTCCCGGCTTGTCCTAACTGAAACCTCTTTCCGAGCACCCCCAGCCCCGGGGAGGCCCCCAAGGCTCAGCGAGTCACCCGCTCGGTGAAGCGCCCCTGTCGCCCGCCCACGGAGACGGCCCGCCAGGAAGCGATGCCCAACAGCCTAAGCTCAGTCCCCGCAGGATGCGGTACAATACGGCGCCCTGGTTGCAACAGCAGACCCTCCCCGCCCAGCGACTCCCACCACCTCAAACCAGACAGACGCGCCAGGCACGAGCTCCGCTTCCGGCTCGAAAAGGACTCTGGGACACTGGGCGGGGCCTGACGCGCCAGGATTCCTGGGAAATGTGGTCTGCGACGCCTCGGCACCCACGGCGCAGGCGCGCCTTGCCGTCCGACGGGGCCCCACCCCGCCCGCTCACGGCCCCGCAGATCCTGAGCGCCCTCGCGCGCTCTTGCGAGGCGGGGGATGGGGGGCTGGTGGGCGTGGTGCTGCAGGGGTGGGCGGGCTGACTGCAGGTGTAAGTGGCAAGGACCCTCGGCGGGTCCTGCCCACCTCTGAGGAGGGCTGGGATACACGGATGCTGGTGTTGCAGGTAACAGCTTAACCCAATGCACCACCACGCCGGCCCCGCCAATATTCTTAATAAAATGTAAATGCAAAAAGTTTTAAAAACAGTTACAGTAAAAGTCCCCTATACACCACTCCAAGGCTCATTCCGTGGTCTGTTTCTGCAGCTGTTAGCTATATATCAAAAATTATCTTGATACTTTTACTACATATGTATGTTTCTAGGGGTAATAAGTAGAGACTGTCACTTGTTTTAGTAAAAAGTTAAATTGCAAATCCTCACAGCAACTTTGCCCTTTTTTTCTCTCTTTGTGTGATTAGGAGAGGCAGTTTTTTTTTTTTAAGACATTTATTTGAAAGGCAGAGTTACAGACAAGCAGAGAAAAATAGAGAGGGAGAGAGGTCTTCCATCTACTGGTTCACTCCCCAGATGGCTGCAGCTAGGCTGATCTGAAGCCAGGAAACAGGAGCTTCTTCAGGGTCTCCCACACGGGCGCAGGGGCCCAAGCGCTTGGGCCATCTTCAGCTGCTTCCCCAGGCTCATTAGCAGGGAGCCGGTTTGGAAGTGGAGCAGCCGGGACTCGAACCGGTGTCCATATGGGATGCCAGCACTGCAGGCAGTGGCTTTACCCGCTACGCCACAGCACCAGCCCCTGTAATTTGCTTTAGTTATACTGTGTGTGTCAGATTAATCTATGTAATGAACCACAGTCCCCCCACGGAGCGCCTGCCTTCTGTGTGTGGGAACTCGTCTCCCCCGTCTCCCTGCAGTGGTGGATTCAGAGCTACACAGAGGACTTGGCCAGGAGGTGCAGCTGTGCCTTCCTGCCCCCGCCCCAGCTGGCCGTCAGCAACGTTGTTTCCCAGCTTCCCCCCACCTGACCTGCTGCCCCGCACTGTCACCAGGGAGCCTCCTGAGAAGCAGTTTCAGTTCCCTTCATCCCACAGGCGGCAAACTCCCAGCTGTTTCCTGAGATTTCCAGCCCAGAGCCCACCAGACCCCAGGCGGAGGCCCTCTCCTTGCGTCATGCTCCTGTTCCCAGGGGTCGATCTTACATCTGTGGAGTACCTTCCATTCCTTAGTTCAATATGTTATCGATCCCTGCTGCAGGAGGGTGCTTCAGAGAACAAGGGGGAGATAATAGAACTGAACGTGCCGGCGCCGCGGCTCACTAGGCTAATCCTCCGCCTTGCGGCGCCAGCACACCGGGTTCTAGTCCCGGTTGGGGTGCCGGATTCTGTCCCGGTTGCCCCTCTTCCAGGCCAGCTCTCTGCTGTGGCCAGGGAGTGCAGTGGAGGATGGCCCAAGTGCTTGGGCCCTGCACCCCATGGGAGACCAGGAGAAGTACCTGGCTCCTCCCTTCAGATCAGTGTGGTGCGCCAGCCGCAGCGGCCATTGGATTGTGAACCAACGGCAAAAGGAAGACCTTTCTCTCTGTCTCTGTCTCTCATTGTCCACTCTGCCTGAACGTGTGAGCTGCTTGGGAGTGGGCGTTTGGCCTGGCAGTTAAGATACAGCTTGGGATGCCCACGCCCCACCTCAGAGTTCCCAGGTTCCAGCTTCCTGCTAAAGGCCACCTGGAGACACAACAGGTGATGGGTGTTGTGGGCATTTGGGATTGGAGGAGTAAACCAGATGGGACCTCATGCACTCATATTCTCTCTCTCTCTCTCCCTCCCTCCCTCTCTCCCTTCCTCTTTCCCTCTCCTTCCCCCACTTCTCTCTCTCTCTTGCCCTCACAAATAAATTTAAAAGAAATTTTGAAATTAAAAACGGTTTAATTGGGGCCAGTGTTGTGGTTCATTGGGTTAAGCCACTGCCCGCAATGCAGGCATCCCATATAAGCGCCAGTTCGAATCCTGGCTGCTCCATTTCCGATCCAGCCCCCTGCTAATGCACTTGGGAAAGCAGCAGAGGGTGGCTCAAGTGATTGGGCCCCTGCACCCATGTGGGAGACCTGGATGGAGTTCTTGGCTCCTGACTTCAGCCTGGCCCAGTCCTGGGCTTTGTGGCCATTTGGGAATCAAGCAGTGGATGGAAGATCTCTCTCTCTCTCTCTCTCTCTCTCTCTCTTTGCCTTTCAAATAAATTACTTTTTTAAAATAATAATTGAGTTTATTTTGGTGCAAAAACGTTTGAAACCCATGCATGGTTTTCTCATAATATCCATTTTCCACTTATTATTATATTAAAAAAAAACCACCCTGGCACCAAAATAAACGCATTCTCTTAATTCCATTTGTTCCAAAAGTTTTTTGAAGTACCCTTGTGTGTTGGAAACAGAAAGCAGATGCCAAAGTGTGACGTCACCACGCTTTCCTCTGCCGTTTCTCCTTTGCTCTCTGTCTGTCAGTGAGTGTACGCAGGAGCAGTCTGGGCGCTGTGGGTGTGAGTTCAGAACCCACCACTCCCTGCTGGCTGCATCAGCTGCTGGGCCTTGGATCAGATAGCTGGCAAAGCTCTTTAGTGGGGGGGGATTATTTCTGAATGACTCGATAGACTTTAAATGGATCAAGTCCCTCTTTCGTGCCTGGAACCAATAAGAGAGATGTAGGATTACAAAAACCTGTTCCAAATTGAAACGACCTGCTCCCCACCCCCACCCCCGACTAAGTCCCGACCTCAGAGGAAAACAAAGCAAGCAAGCTGTTACTGAGAGCTGAATTAGGGAATTTGTAATAACCGGCTCTGATTTATGAGCTTACCGGCTCAGCGCATCCCAGAAAAGGTAGCATTTTGATGTGGGCACAGCTGGCTCAGGGACCACCAGCAAGTAAGATAGATGCTTCTTACTTAGGGACCTGAGTCTCTGCTCACCGAGGCAAGGGAGGGAGCCCACCCCCCACACTTGCTTTGTGGAGGGAGGAAAAGACAGCGCAGGGCTCCAAAGCCCAGCTTTGGGGATCAGACGGCCAGAGGGTGAATCCCAGCTCGGTCTCCAGTTGGCTCTCATAGGGTTCCTCGAGAGGTTCATGGAGGAGCCAGCCACTAGCCTGACAGCTGAGACGCCCACAATCCAGTGTGCAGCATTGCATCTGGGTTCAGTTTCTAGTCAGGGGCCTGACTTCAGCTTCCGGCTCAGGCAGGTCCTGGGAGGCTGTAGAGATGGTTCTGGTGACTGGGTCCCTGCCACCCACAGGACAGACCTGAACAGCAATCCCAGCTTCCACGGCGGCCCTGGCCCAGCCCCTGCCATCGTGGGCATTTAAAGAGTGAGCCAAGGCCTGCGCCGCAGCTCACTAAGCTAATCCTCCACCTGCGGCGCCGGCACACTGGGTTCTAGTCCCGGTCGGTGCGCCGGATTCTGTCCTGGTTGCTCCTCTTTCAGTCCAGCTCTCTGCTGTGGCCAGGGAGTGCAGTGGAGGATGGCCCAAGTCCTTGGGCCCTGCACTGCATGGGAGACCAGGAGAAGCACCTGGCTCCTGGCTTCTGTTCAGCGTGGTGCGCCAGCCGCAGCGGCCATTGGAGGGTGAACCAATGGCAAAGGAAGACCTTTCTCTCTTTCTGTCTCTCTCTCCCACTGTCTACTCTGCCTAAAAAAAAAAAAAAAAAAAGAAAAAAAGTGAGCCAAGGGGCTGGCGTTGTGGCACAATAAGGCACTTCCAATCCAGCTCCCTGCTAACATGTCTGAGAAAGCAGTGGAAGATGACCCAAGTCCTTGGGTCCCTGCACTCATGTGGGAGGCCTGGAAGAAGCTTCTGGTTCCTGCGGCCATTTGGGGAGTGAATCAGGCGAAGGAAGATCTCTTTCCTCTCTCTCTCTCTCTCTCTCTCCCTCCCTCCCTCTGTAACTCTGCCTCTCAAATAAATAAATAAGTTTTTATTAAAAAATCATAATTTTCCTCTCTCCTAGAACTTTATGAGTGTTAAAAGAATGGATGAGTTTAATGCTCATCTGAGGTGGGATGGTACTTCTTTAAACAAAATTTACCCTATGATCCAGCAATTCTACCTCTGGGATGAACCAAAAGGAACTGAAAGCAAGGACTCCAAAAGATACTTGTGCACCATGTTTATAACAGCATCATTCACAATGAAAAGGAGGAAGCAATCCAAACGTCCATCAACAGGTGACTAAGAACCAAGATGTATTATACCCCATACAATGGACTTCTAGTCCACCTTGAAAAGAAAGGACATTTTGGGGCTGGCTTTGTGGAGCAGTGAGTTAAAGCCTCCACTTGTGACTTCGGCATCCCATATGGGCACTGGTTCGAGTCCCAGCTGCTCCACTTCTGACCCAGCTCTCTGCTATGGCCTGGGAAGGCAGTAGAAGATGGCTCAAGTCCTTGGGCCCCTGCACTGGCGTGGGATCGGAAGTGGAGCAGCTGGGACTAGAACCAGGCCCATATGGGATGCTGGCACTGCAGGTGGTGGCTTTACCCACTATGCCACAGCGCTGGCTCCACCCCTTGACCTTTTAAGACCACAGTTGACCAAAGGTAACTGAACCCAGAGAAAGCAAAACCCTGGGTGAGAGGTGCACTGCCATCTATGAGCTCTAAATGTCTGCATTTCCAAAGTCCTGCTCCTGTGGCATTTGGAGCTGACTCTGGAGAAGGCTGATGTCACTCTTTGCAGGGACCCACACGGGAACAGATTTCCACCCAACGGCTGATCAGGCCGCCTGAGCAGCTGGGAGCTGCTGCCCTGGATTCCGCCTTAACTTAGACTAATCACAGTGCATTTACCAAAGGGCTCTCTCTCAGCCTCCAAAACAAAACGCGCCGTCCTTAGAGGGAATTCTGCATAATCCTCTTATCCATCCACCTA